TGTAAACTGCACCAGGAATACAGGATGCCACATCAGGACCAGGGAAGGTAAGCCAAGAGATTTCTACAAGAGTCCTGGTTTAACGTTTGCCAACGCCAAACAACACTTACTCGACAATGTGCTTTAAATTCCTGCTCCTGACTTTTCAGATTTTCATTCATGGCTACAAGTGCTCTCAAGTTCTGCAGGATGCTGAAGAGAAAAGACCAAAACCATTACGATGTCATGAATCGCAGCTGAAACCAGGTCCGCAGCTGAAGACGGACTGACGCCCTTTTAGGTCTCCTTTGTCTCCCCTACGCGTCTCTGAAGGGCTCTGCACAAACAGTACAACTTCCACGTCACGGACATTGTTGTTCATTTCCACGCCCAAGCCCAGCAGCCACGTCCAAACAGACATTACAGATTCCAAAATGAAAACATCAACTGTAGAAACATCAGGGAGTTCCCAGAGAACTGAATATACCTGATGATATCAATTACTGAACTGGACTCAGAGTATATATATAGTACTGAAAACCATTTTTAATATCAACTCTGAAAAGGAAACAAGTTGCTTAAGGCCATTAAAAGCACTAATTTGATAATAAAAATGTCAAGTATCTGACAGCACTTTGTTCCATATCATACACGAAGGGTTTCTAATTATACAGCCAAGTACTTAGTGGGTATTTCGTTACTAAAAACGTCCACCAAACCCCGAACTGCTCATTCTGTGCCTGAAACTTTGATTTCACAATCTCATTCAAACGAGCAACACCTAGGAGACTTTACCACCAAAGAATCTGGTGCTAAAAAGGCCGAATGTACGTGCTTCTTCTCTTCTAAAGATGATTAATTTCACGTGCAGAAAAAAAAATAACAGCAGCTGTTCCTTGGCAAAAACAAAACAAAACAAAACAAAAACAAACGCAGCTTTACTCCCAAGAAGATGGGCTAAAATGTGTGCTGTTAAAAACTAGCGACAAAAATCGACTCCAAGGAGGAGAAGTAGGTGGCTGGGGGTCTGGGGTAGGAGGGGGACTTCACCAGGCGCCTTTCGTACACCTACTCCTCACTTGACAACTGTCTTCTCAACTGACATTTCACATTTATGACAATAGTGAAAAACCTACTATCCGACTAGTCTGCGCATTAATGAAATACATCTGGCAGTAACCCTTTCATGACCAGTGGGACACAGAGTGCCCACCTACACTTTCTGCCTCTCAGGTCCAAAGGGACATAAGAGTCCCATGTGCTATTCTGTGATTGGATGTGGTCATCCTCCATTTTCGCATAACACTGATTTTCACATACTCTGGAAGCTCACCATGTCAATAAGTGAGGAGTGGATGTATTGTGAGTGTATTACTTAGTTTTTTTAAAAAAGAAAACAAAAACTGCTGCTTCTGATCACAAGGGGAATTGGGAGGAAGAGCATGGCTAACTCAATGTAACCCAAGCATCTTAGCAAACGCCTGAACGATGGGGACCCAGGAGAGTCATCCTGGCACAGACGGATGGCACCACAGTCTGGATCAGCATGTGAAATTAATGGACCTGTTTGGGGCCTGAACCAATGACCCTCGTCTCCTCAGTCCTGTGCTCAATCACATTAAACCACCAGGCACTGGCAAAGAATGCAGGCTGAAGCCTCTTACCTTGGATCAGCTTTGGATTCTATCTTCTCGAGGGCTGCTTGTTCTTTGTCCAGTTTCTCACTGTAACTTTTCAACTACAAGAGAGAATGGAGGAATCACTGCTAGGGGCTTGTGGCACAGAAGATTGCTTCCCCTCTCCCCGGGCTCGCATCTGAACTCCACTTCTGATACAGCACCCTGAGAGAGAAGGTGGACGGCAGAAATGGGGTGGAGGTGGAGGGACAAACATGGGAAGTTAAAACCAGACCTTTCCTGACACATTCTGATGGCTGCAGAAACCTTGGTAATGGCTCTAAATTACAGCAGCAGATGGGTGGAAGGTCAAAGGTGATGCTGAGAGCAAGTGCCTTTTGGCAGCAAGTGACAAATAAAAAGAGTGGCTACGGAGTCAGACAGACCTGGGTTTACATCTCAGAACACCACTGTCAGGGCTGTTCACAGGGGCAGGTTAAAAGCGCTCATCTTGAATAATTCCACCTTCTCCTGAGGCAGATAAAAACCAGACCAAAACCCCATGTTGAGTCGATTCTGATTCACAGCAACCCTACAGGACACAGCAGAACGGCCCCATAGGGTTTTCAAGGCTGTCATCTCTATGGAAGCAGACTGCTACATCCTTCTTCCGCAGAGCAGCCGGGGGGTTCAGATCGCCAACCTTTTGGTTAGCAGCAGAACGCTTAACCACTGCACCACCACTGCTCCTTCTGAGGCAGAAAAACCAAACCCAGATTTTAATGTATAGAGTGTCCAGTTACATCGTGCAACACAATGCTAAGCAGCTATTGTAAAATAAATAAGGCGGCTCTTTCATACGTTGCTATAGGATGATCTCCAACATCTACTGTTGGCGGAACAAAACAAGGTGCAAGATCATGAGCGGAACATAATTCCAATTAGGTGTAAAGGAGTGAAAAAGCATATACATGTAATTGCTTGTATGTGCATAAAATAGCTCTGAAAAGATTCACAAGAAGCTGGCTGCACTGGCCGCCTCTGAGGAGGGTAGCTGGGTGGCTGAGTTACAGGGGTATATACCCTTTGTACCTTTTGAATTCTGAATCATGTGAATGTGTCAGCTATTCAAAAACAAGTTAAAAAAAACCTCCAAGGGCTTTAGTTGAAAATGACACAAGCCACAGCAACCCTGCCTCCCTCAAAAAAACACCAAATCCCCCGCTGCTGAGTCGGTTCCAGAATCCAGATTACACTGCTGGAACACAGAAGTGAGTACTTCAGGGGACAACAAAGACGGCCGGCGGATTGGAACGGACTAATGAATACCTTCCGGAGTTAACGGACGTAGGAAGGGCTGGTCTGCAGGGTTGGGATCCGTGTAAGGAACAACCAGCAGGCCAGGCAGCGCACCCTGGCTCCCTAAAGGCAGGAGCCGGTGTTTGAGTCTCAGACCGTGGCGCAGGGTCCCAGATAGCTGGCCATACCCAGGAGAGAGGCGAAAGTTCCCCACCCAGAATATCAGTTACCACTGAATCCCACCAGACAGTACGTCCACCCTTCCAGGTAATTACATGAACAGGCTGCATAAAATGCATGCAGCAACCACAAGGAATTCAAAATCAAAGATAAGCACACAACCAAGAATTAGCAAACATCTGTAAAAAGACAAAACCATAAAACAAATGTATCAACTCAAAAAATGAATTCTGACCTGAGGAAGTAACTGATAGAGCAAGAAAAACAAGTCTTTAGAACAGTTATAATTAATGCCCTTAGAGATGCAAGAAGATCCCACATCTATTAAAAATCACCAACCCCACAGAGAGGAAGTTAGAACTGTGGCTGTTGAAGGTAAAAGGTGGACGGGTTAGAAGCCGGTGGCCAACCCAAAGCAGGGCCAGCCAGTCATGGCCTCCTTGAAGCGGCCGTGCAACCTCCCCCAGGGTGTCCCGTGCTGCCATCTGTCCTCTACCTTCCCTGCCTTGCTCTTCTTTTCCTAAATTTGCTGGAAAGACAGGTCTTCCCTGTTTTTCAGTGCCACTAGGGTAACCCAGAAGGGCAGGTTTGCTGAAAAGGTAAAACCTGGGAACACTGGCAGGAAAGGGTTTGGGATGCTCATTCTGCC